CGCTTTTACACGCGAAATTACCTTCTAAGCCGATTATAGGTAATTTTGCATCTAAGCAGATTTAAAATCAGATAATTCTGCATCTAAGCAGATTTAAAATCAGATTTAATATATTTTATTCAAAATAAAACATCTTTAAAAATATAATTATCAATCCTAACCTCATTAGAATTAAAGAGAACCTTCTAGATATTCCTAGAAGACTAAAATCAATCCTAATACTTTAGGAATAATAATCAATAGGTCCTCCTCTAGATCATTGGGCCACATTAGAAATCATTGGGCCTAATTTAATTTAATCTATATAATTCCTCATAATTTATCGGAATTGGACTTATAATATATCATTGGAAAGCTCTTTTCGAGCCCAATCCAACTACAATATTATTGGACCCTTATCATGGACAAAACCAAATTGGAATGACCATTTTCATAAAAAAGAGCAAGAAAAGAAATATTTTTAAAAATAGAAAGAGAAACATTTTAATAAAAACAACCTCACCTAATACTTTGCACACTTTTACTTCGTTCGATAATAAAATGACGCGAAAGGTTTTCATCACTGGGTTTGGGTTTGGTTTTGGGGAGACACAATTGGGTGTCTACAAATTGCAGAATACATAGGTTTAGCCCCTAAAACATAGCAAACTTAAGCTGAATTCCATAAATCAACTTCAGATTGTACACCATTAGTAGTAATCTGTATCAAATTCTGTGAGCTAATAATAACCCCCACCTTTGCCTGACCATTACTAGACAAGTTAACCTCCTCATCAACAACATTCTTGAACAAATTATCTCTCCAAGAATTCCTACTACTATCATTAGCAGCAGCAGATTGAAAAACAAGGTTTCTAATAGCAGTAGTTCGTAAAATAGAGCATTAAATATCTGGGTTAGTAGAATTTGGGGAAAAATTACTTACCCTGTTTCAAAAGCTCAAAGTTCCATCATCAATCATCAATGGTGTAGGATTGATGAACCCACTACTAGCAATCCCAAAATCAGAGGTATTATCGAACTCATTAATGGAGCTCGAGGAATGATGGATTACTTGAAGCCAATCATTAAACTCCTGGTGCTGCAATCGATCCTCTTCAGTAACCTCCTTCACTGGTATCTCTTCCTCCATTGAATACTTCAGCCAGCTTCAAAAACATCATCCGAAGCAATGCTCTATTCCATTCGCTTCGTATAATTCCGGGTCTTAGGTTTTAAAGTTTGTTTTAATTTTTGCTTCTTCTTCGATTTGGAGCTAGAATTCTTGCTTCCCTTCGATTTTTTATCCTTAGCCATGGCTCAATCGAAAGATTTTAAGGTAAAAAATGGTAGGTTGCTAGGATTTTCTCTCTCTAAGATTTTTTTGTATATTAATATTACCTCCGTCCAATAATACTTGGGACATTGGGGTGGACACGTAGCTTAAGAAAACTACGAGTTCATTTCTTATATACAAGATTCACTTTTGTATTTTATATTGCAATAAAACAATGGGTGAAGGTTGGTGGGGGTAGTGAGGAGAGAGAAAATATGGGAATATATTAATATTATTTTATTAGTGGTCTCATTTCATATTTAGTAACATGTCTTATATTGTGGGACAGACGAAAATAGGAATTGTGTCAAGTATTATGGGACGGAGGGAGTATATAAGCAATTGACTAAGAATATCAACCATCATTATTATAGAATAAGACATCATTATAATGATATCAGACACAAAATATAGATAAGCTAACAAAACAGTGATATAAGCCAATAACAAAAATATATCTGACAAGAAACATCTAAACCAATAAAATAAACAAATAAGCCAAAATTTAAGTATATAAACCATAATTAAGATAAGTAAAAAGATAAAACATATTAGACAACAAAAAGATATATTTTACACAACAAAGAAAAACATATGAGCCAATAAGCAATCAAAATGATTATATAAGGCAACCTAATAAATATATCGCCCAAAAATATCATCATATAAGCCATCAATATGATTATATAAGGCAACACAATAAATATATCATCCATCAATATCACCATATACAAGCCAACATAAAAATCTTATCAGACAGTATATGAAAAATATAAGCCAAAAAAATCAGGCAATTAAGAAAACATTTTAGCCAACGGAAGATTTCAAGTAAAACAATCAAAATATTAGCCAACACAAAAATTATATAAGTCGAAAGATCATACCTAGATTTTGTTTGATTTTTTTTGTTTTGAAGTACCTTTTTCTGCTTTAGATTTTCTGTAACTAAAAATAAATAATCAAAAAACAACATAAAAATACATTACAAAATCTAAAAGGACATAAAAATTGAACAAAGACCTAAATGAAATTTACGATACAAAATACGATATCATAAAACCCTAAGAAGCAAAAGCAAATGCTAAAATAAAAACAGATACATTAAATTGAAAATTCAATTAATTAAACACAAACAAAGCATAAGTTGAATTACGATGAAAATATATACTAATAGCCTACATTTTGAATCAAAAAATTACATTACAAATAATGAAATAACTAACAGTTTAAAGCAGCAGTAAAAGAAACAAAATGTATACTGAATCATATACATATATATATGTATATAGGGGAGGGATCCGCTGAGAATAAGTCCATATGTGAGAATTCATACTTATATGAGAACTGATTTAAAATTTAGAACATGTGAATTAAAATTTAGAACATGCGAGTTAAAATTTAGAACATGTGACTTAAATTAAAATTTTGAACATATGAGTAATAATTTAGAACATTTGTGTGACTAATATGTTTAGAACATCTGTTTTAAGAATTAGAACAAGTGATTAAAAATTTATAAAATTTTCTTTATGAAATTTTAAACATATGAGTAAAATGTAGACATATGATTTAAGATTATGAACATGTGAATAAAAATTTAGAACAAACTGATATAGAATATAGAAAGTGTGAGTAAATAATTTAGAACATACGAGTAAAAAAAATAGAATATACAATTTAAAATCTGGAACATATAATTAAAAATCTTAAAACACACGTTTTAAAATTTAGAACATACAAGTTAAAATTTTGGAACAAGTTATTTAAAATTTATGACATCGAACTTAACTAATTTATAGTTTAGAACATGTGAGTACTAAATTAGAACATTTGATTTAATTTAGAATACCTAAGGAAAAGTTTAGAACATCAGATTTAAAATTTAGAACATGCGAGTAAATATTTAGAACATAAAGAGTGTTCTCACATAAGAAAATTTCTCACGAGAGTCTTCCCCTATATATATATATATATATATATATATATATATATATATATATATATATATATATATATATATATATATATATATATATATATATATATATATATATATATATATATATATATATATATATGTATAAACAGTTCATAGTAAAAAAAAGGGGAGTGCTAAACGCAACCTAACTTTACTTAGCGCAGCCTCTATTCCACTCATTTATTAGATGTAGGGAGAAAATAACCATTTTATTTTTTTTTTCCTCTCAAGTAATATCTAATAACAAGAGTGCATTAATTTAACTTAAAATACATTGAATTTGCAATGGGTAATAATTTTTACATTAGCCTCTTCGAATTTGATAAGAATCATACGAATCTATTATGTGTAGAATCAATAAAATCACTTTTCATCCTTCAAAAATAAATAAATAAATAAAACCACTTTTTAATATTTCGTTCAAATTGTATGAAATGATTGAGCCTATTTCGTGTGTCACCCAACTTCATCTGATCCGTGTTCATATTCATTAGATCTCGGAATATTGTTCGCTAATTGATTATGTGGAATGGAAAACAGGCAAAAATGTCGTGAAGATGATTTTAGCTTAGAAGGGTATTTATGGTATTTAGGAGGGGTGTATAGTAGAGTAACTAGAGGTTGCGTTTAGCAATCATGAAAAAAAAAATTAAGAATTAAGGGAAAAAATGCATACCTAAAGTTGGAAAGAAGTGAATCATCAGGATGTTCTACCGTAACCTTCAGTGGCAAACGATTAACATTTTTATACCTCATTTTTTTCGATTTACGATAATATTTAACTGAGAAATCTTTCATAAAAGAAGAAAAATGCAGACGAAAATGAAGAAAATTTGCAAAAACATGTAGAAATTGCATAAGTGAAACAATTGAAAAAAAGTTGAAAAAGAAAAGAAAGAAAATTAGTAGAAATTGCAGTGAAAAAGAAGAGAAAATGGAGTTGAATATGGTGGTTTTTTTTAAAATAAGAAAATAGAGTTGAAACTGGCGGAATAAGTGGAAGAAATAAAACTGGGCTAACAGTTGAGTTGAAAGTTATACAGCCCTTTTCTCAAAAACAAAAAACAAATAAAAATGGGTTGGACAAATTTTTAAAGTTGTCGCATGAACTATTGGCTGCGACTTAAGGTTATATATGGTTAATTAACATATTTAGTAGCAATTGAATAAATAAAAAATGCAAAGTCCCTACAATTTGGTCCAACCAGCAGCAAAGGTCCCTAATGTTTGATTCGGTCAACACCTAAGGTCCTTAATGTTTGGTCCAGTTAGCAAAGACCACCCAAAGTGGTGGTAGAGGGACCAAAACCAAACTTTTCTAAATTTAAGGAGTAAAACTAAACATTTGGCAAACGTTAGGGACGTTCTTTACACTTCACTCGGCCAACACAATCAAACAAAGAGAGAAAAAATAGACTCATCCTCCCAATAATTGATAGGCTTGACTTTATTTTATCAATATTTATACTACCTCCATTTCATACTACTTGCAATGGTTTGACATAAAGAAGAGAGGAAAAATGTATAATTGTTGCAAATAATATAAAATGGAGGTAGTATATGTACATAGTATGTGTATCAAGTTTAATTATGTCAATTACTACCTCCGTTTCATATTATTTGCAACGATTAAACATTTTTTCTTTTATGTTAAATTGTTGCAAATAATATAAAACGGAAGTACCGGTAGTATTTAAAGACGGACATAATATCAAGCAAACTGGCAATTAGAACCAGCCAAAGCCAAGAATAAAGAAGCAAACTTAGCAAAGAGCGTTTTTTCTCCTGCTTTTTCCCCAAATTGAAGATCAAAATTGAAAAGCAGGATCTAAGGCTTGATCAAACTTTCCCTGAAATTCAACTCTATCATTGTCTGGGTAATTTATATTTGTCTTTGATTCTTTCCATGCTTAATTCTCGCATTTTATTTTTTTATTCTTTACATTTTACAAGGATTGTTGTTCACTATAAGATTTTCAGCTCAATTAGCATAATTTCAATGCTTACACTCAATCATACTATTTTAATATTGGTGTATATTGGGTTCTTTTTGAATAAATTAATTATTGTACTGATTGTCGAAGCCAATTTTCGATGGTATGATTAATTTGTCAGTTATGAGGTCGTATAATTTGGTGACAGTATCACAACTTTACAAGAGAGGAATTGATGGTGCATTTTTTTTGGTGTAATTTGCGTTTTTAATTGGATAAGAAAGAGGTTCTGTGCTGATTTAGGCATAACTTATGTGTTCAAGCTGTGTGGTTAGCTTTGAGATTGGAGAACTTGTTTACATCATATTTGTTTCGATTTGAGATTGGAGGAATTGATGGTGCATTATTGCATTCGAGTAATCTCTTATTTCGACTTTAGCTATGGCCTTTTATTTTTTTTTAATTATGTTTGTAAGTTATGGAGATAAAGGAAGGACTTTCCTCCTATTCCCAGAGTTGGGGATGGGGGAAGGGTGTTAGTTGGCTACTTTGTTTCCACAAGAGCTTATAGTTGTATATTCATCGTCGTTAGCTGTCATTTAAGGAGACTAAAGTGTGCATATTTTTTTGGTTGATTAGATTGAGAAGTATGTTCCTGGAATTGGTGGATGATGAAATTGTTTAGGGGGGTTTTGTTTTGGGGGTTTCAATTTTCAAATGTTGTTTTGTTGGTATTTTTAAACAGTGTTTTCTCCATTTCCTTTATGACGTTCCCTTAAATCCTTCTACTATGTATACTGATTTCCACCTCCACCAAGGGCTTCATAAAATCCTCAAACCCTTGTACTCCATGACCATAGCTGGATTGATCAGTGTCCTAACCCCAACCTAGCTTCCAATATACCCACCACCAACTTTCCCACCACCCTGCTGTGAAAATAAGTCGATGATTGAGTAAGCATGGTGCTGGCAAAGGAGGTGTAATTGTGGTCGGCAATTGGCGGTGATCATGTGGATATTGGCATGTTAAAAGTTACGATGCATAGAGATTGGTTGATTGCATATAACGTCGAGGGGTGGTAGAAATAATAGATCAACTAGGGAATACCGGAGGGGTTTGTTTATTCATCTCCTTTTCTCTAACCAAACACCATGGAGGCTTTTTTTTTTGTTGGGTTGGGGGGGGGGGGGGGGGGGGCTGGTTTCATGTTTTGTTTTTTTCCTTTTTTTTTTTTTTTAAAACAAACATCCCTTTAGTGTATTTTTGTAACTGAATCGCATCCTGGATTCCTGGTTCCTTCAAGGTATCTTCAGTTTTTTCTTTTTTCTTCTTTGAACCACATGCTACACTTATGCTAAGGATGTTTCTTTTGAGAATCAAGGGAGGAGTGGCAATGCCTTCTTACCTTCCACCCTAGAGGCAAGGGATTAATCCTCGCTGAGTAACGAGGCTCTTTTTTTTGGTGGGTGGGGGAGTGGGGGTGGTTTGGTGTGTGTTGTTCATGAGTTGATAGGCCCAGGTGAATGCATGAATACTGTTTGAAGGAATTCAAATTTAATGCTGTAATATGTCTTCATCAAACTGAGGCATTGACTATTGCATAGGAATTTGCAATTTGTTAATTTTTCTTCTTTTCTTTTCTCTGTTTGATGCCTGAGCCATCATTTCTTACTGGGTTTGCATATATTTTGGCTTGTTGATGTTAGCCTTTTGTTGTCATGAATGGAATACAGGGACTGTGTAATCCTTCAGAAAGCCCTTTACTGTCTAAAAGCTGTCAATAGTTGTGTCCTGAAAATAAGTTGTTGTGTACTGAAGGCATTCAACCATGGCGAGCTCAGATCCTGAAAAGCAGATGGCCAAAGCTGACAAGATTACTAAGCTAAGTTTTACTAGATGGAATGCTGATTGGAAGAATGCGGCGGTGCTATATGAACAAGCTGCTATTGCATTCAGGCTTGCTAAACAAAACGAAAAGGCAAAGTTAGCTTTTGAGAAAGCATCCAAGGGACAGGAGATGCTCTCTTCGCCTTGGGATGCAGCCAGATTCATGGAATCTGCTGCTGCGATGGCCAAGGAACTAGGAAGCTGGAATGAGGTTGCCGATTTTTACAAAAGGGCTTCAGAGTTGTATATTGAATGTGGAAGATCGCAGCCTGCGTCAGATGCTCTTGCTAAAGGTGCTCGTGCTTTGGAAGAGTCTATGCCCGAGGAAGCTGCACGTTTATATATAAGTGCTTGTGAAATTCTTGAAGAGGATGAAAAGGAGCAGATGGCCTTTGACTTGTATCGAGCTGCTGCTAGTGTTTATATAAAACTTGAGAAGTATGAAGATGCTGCAGCTACCTTGCTTAGGTTGGGCTTGGCAGCTGATAAGAGCAATGCCAAAAACAGCCAATGCAAGGCTTACCTAAGTGCCATCATTGTTTACCTCTATACTCATGACTTCAAACAAGCAGAGAAGTGTTACAATGATTGTCTACAAACTGATGCTTTTATGGACAGTGATCAATTTCGTGTGGCTAGTAAACTTATGTCTGCGTACAGAGAAGGTGACATTGAAGAAGTTAAACGTGTGGCACAATCTAGCACCATATCAAATTTGGAACATGTGATAATCAGGCTCGCTAGAAAACTGCCAACTGGGGAACTGCATGCAATTCGGGCTGAAGTTGCTGGGGAAGAGGGTGATGAACTCGATGAAGATAACCTTGTTTAGTTCCAGACTAAATTATGACATGACTGTGATTTTATCCCAGAAAGAAATTTTATATCTTCTCTGTGGTTCTTGAGGTATTTTGAATGCGATGGAAGTTCTTACCATGTAAAAAGTTGTTTGAGGGAGACTTGTTTGAGTTTTGTACCATGGTATTCCCTTGGATTTGTTGAAAGTTGTGTGGGACACGAATAGTAGTATGAATTTGTTGTATCTTATATTGTATACTCACTTTGTCCCAGAATACCTTTATACTTTTCTTTTTCGTCTACTCTTAAATACTTCTTCATTTCCAATAGTAAAAGGTCCTGCCCCCTATTTTCATTCAATTAAAAGAATAATTACTACTAATGTTTTAATGAAATAACAATTGATAACTGATAAGCAATAAATTAATTTCCATAATTTATAATTGGATAAATTATCCGGAATAATCCAACCTTTGCCTCATCCGCACAAAATAATCCCACATTTTGATTATTTTTAAATAATCCGACCTTTATATCTAATCCGCTCCTAATGGTCCAAGTGACTTGAAACTGGCTAAACAAGTTATTATTTGTGACTTGGAAATGTTTGCACATGTGTCAACACACAATTAGTCTATTTTTTTTTTTTTTAAAAAAAAATAATATTTAAAAAAAAACGAAACCACCTCACCTACCCAGCCCACCCACCGAAACCACCTCCTCTACCCAGCCCACTAACCGAAATTGTCACTTTGCCCTTGGATTGGCGGCTTTAATGGGTTTAATTTGCGATTTTGGGGTTGATTTGTAGGTGCTCGAAGCGGCAGCTCTAGTTGTGTGGTGCCTGCCGGCTGTTATTGGTGTAGTTTTGGTGGTTAGCAATTGATTGTGATGGTGGTTGGTGGCATCGTTTGGTGTTTGCTGAGGGGAGATTGGTTGTGATGTTGTGGCGGGTTTAAGGGTACGGTGGCGCATATGTGAATTGCGAAGGAGAAGCAACAACATTGCAGCAGTCAATCTACTTTTATGGCAATTTAGCGGGCTAGTGCTACGGTCGAGTCGGCCGGAAACTAGGAGGAAGAAGAAGGGGTGCTCGGAATCAGCAAGGGAAGGAGAGTTGGTGGCTGGATTCGGGGAGGGGGAAGGGAGATGATGGCCAGTGGCTAGGCTGCCGGAATTTGGGTTGGGTTTTTTTTTTTTTTTTTAAAAAAAAATTATTTTTATCAACCAATCAGAAGCTGACACGTGTCTAGTAACTTGTAATGACAAGTTAGGTGACCGGTTAGGACCATTTAAAGCGAAAGAGGTATAAAGGTCGGATTATTCTGGACAATTTTTCCTTTATAATTTATGTGTCATCGTGGTAAACTTTAAGAGTTTTGGGGAAGTTCCGGGGAAAAAGGGAATATATTAAAAAATCTTCATTCATTCTAAAATCAATCTAGCTAAGTGGCGAATTGAGGATTTTTTGGATGGTTGGTCACCACTAATTCTCCACTGACCACGACATTACAATCAATTACCAATACATATAAATAAAATAATTCAACTTCATAATTAGTACTCCATAACAGAAATACAAAGATTCTTTCTTTTAGAAAAAATAAATACAAAGATTCTCAAATAAGCTTACAATTAGGGGTGTGTGTTCATTATTCGGATAAAAACCAAAATCCAATTCAATTCATTCCGAATTATTAATTCAGATCGGATCCAAATTTTAAATCTGATCAGATCGGATCAAAACTTTAAATCTGATCGGATCGAATTGAAATTTTTTATAAATTTGGGTTTTTGGATCGGATCGGATTGACCTTGTTTGGATCCAAAAAACCGAAATATAAAACCATGCTTTTACAAATGAGGATACATTATATTAATCATGAAAATTTTATTGATCATTACATTAATATAAATTAGGAAAAATTGACATTTACTACCAGCGAAAGTACCTTGTGTTACATTTGCTACCTGTTTAATTTTTTATTTTATTTTGCTACAACCTAAAATCAAATAATTAAAATTTCACAACCACTTAACGGAATCCGTTAAGGTTCCGTTAGTTAAGTTTATTAAAAAAAAAAAAGAGTAACCCAGCCACCCTCTCCCCTCCCCTCAACTGCCAACCCTTCCCCCCTCCCCCTACCGACGACCGGCGCTTAAAGCTTCGGTCGGCGCCGACGCGAACCCACCTCTTCCCTTTCCCCAACCCTACACATCCAACCCCCCTTCCCTTTCCCCGTTCTTGCTGCCCCGGCCCCCACCCCGAATGAAAACCACCCCCTTTCCCTTTCCCCCATTGGAATCCGCCCCCAGCCCTGTTCCCCCCACCGAAATCGACCCCCATCCCCTTCTCTTACCCTTCTTCGGCCTTCCCTAACCCTAAAACACCACCCCAAAACCACCAAAAACGAATTTAGGTGGTTGAGTCTATATTCCCAAAACAAATTTAGAAACTTCACCCTAAAAAAAAAAAAAAAAAAAAAAAAAAAAAAAAAAGAGAAGAAGAGAGAGAGAGAAAAGAAAAAAAAAACCATAAATTAAATACCAAGAAAAACTTTATATCTTTATATAACACATGCAATTTTTTTTTTCCGTAAACTACCAATATATTCAAAAATTACATTCAAAATTTTGCATTGAATCCTTAATACATTAAATATTAGGAAAAAAACAAATCTTTCTTTAAATCTTATTTTTGTTAAATATGGAAGAGAAAATATAGAGAGATGAGAGAAGATTGTTACGTTGTATTTCATATTCCATCTAGTACGGGATATATATAATGTACATTACCTAGGGTTCCATCAATGGATAAGACCAAATACCCAACTCTAGAATATTCTAGATTGTACATAGGATAATAGTCATCCATATTTAGATATTATCATAACACTCCCCCTTGGATGACTATATATTGAATAAAACAATAACTAACATTTACTATAAAACTCGTACAAAATAATGCACATAAGATGCTGCCTCGTTAAAAACCTTACCAGGAAAATCCAGTGGGAAAAAACCATGGTTAAGGAAAAAAAATTGCAGCGCGCATTAACTCCCCCTCATGACTACATCACTTGAGATCTTTAAGACGACGCAATCCAATGCCGTAAGCTAACTTTTTGAATGTTGCTATCGGAAGAGCCTTAGTAAATAAGTCTGCTAAATTCTCACTTGAACGAATCTGCAATACATTTATATCTCCATTCTGCTGAAGATCATGAGTGAAGAAAAATTTGGGTAAGATGTGCTTTGTTCTATCACCTTTGATGTATCCTTCCTTAAGTTGAGCAATACAAGCTGCGTTATCCTCATATAAAGTTGTTGGTGCCTCTTTCCCAGATAATAAACCACAAACTTCTTTTATATGTTGAACTACTGACCTTAACCATACACATTCATGACTAGCCTCGTGAATTGCTAAAATCTCATAATGATTGGAAGAACTAGCTGCAATGGTTTGTTTCATGCAACGCCAAGAAATGGCAGCACCACCATATGTGAACACATATCTAGTTTGTGACCGACCATTATGAGGATCAGATAAATAACCTGCATCTGCAAAACCAATCAAATTTTCTTTGGACAACTTTGGAAAAAATAAACCCATATCCTTCGTACCTTGAAGGTAACAAAGTAAATGTTTAATCCCATTCCAATGCCTTCGGGTTGGACATGAACTAAACCTTGCTAATAAATTAACTGAAAATGATATGTCGGGTCGTGTATGACTTGCAAGGTACATTAATGCTCCAATTGCACTAAGATACGGTACTTCAGGACCAAGAATTTCTTCATCATTTTCCCGAGGTCGGAATGGATCTTTCTCTACTTCAAGTGATCTTACAACCATAGGGTTGCTCAATAGATGTGCTGTATCCAAAGAAAATCTTTTAAGAACATTTTCTATGTATGTTGATTGATGCACAAGGATTTCATTCTCTAGGTGCTCTATTTGTAACCCCAAGCAGAATTTTGTCTTTCCTAGATCTTTCATTTCGAACTCTTTCTTTAAATAATTTACAGTCACTGAATCTCTTCAGGAGTTCCAATGATATTCAAATCATCAACATACACTGCAATTATAACAAATCCCGATCCAAATTTCTTTATAAAAATACATGGGCTGATAGGATCATTCTTATAACCTTCTTTCAACAAATACTCACTTAGACGGTTATACCACATATGCCCAGATTGTTTCAATCCATAAAGATATTTGTTCAATTTAATACAGAAATGTTCTCGAGAACTAGATTTTGTTGCTTCTGGCAGTTTGAATCCTTCTGGGAGCTTCATGTAAATGTCATTATCCATTGGGCCATATAAATAAGCTGTGACTACATCCATCAAACGTAAGACAAGTCCTTCTCTTATTGTCAGACTAATAAAAAATCTAAAAGTAGTTGCATCCACCACAAGAGAATATGTCTCCTCATAATCAATACCAGGTCTTTAGGAGAATCCTTGTGCAACTAAGCGTGCCTTATATCTTACAACTTCACCCTTTTCATTTCTCTTTTGCACAAAGACCCATTTATATCCCATTGGCTTTACACCTTCAGGTGTACGGACTACAGGTCCGAATACTTCTCTTTTTCCAAGAGATTTTAATTTCTCTTCAATTGCTTCTTTCCATTTTGGCCAATCATTTCTTTGTCTACATTCTTCACTGGATTTTGGTTCATGATCCTCATTATTATCCATAACATCTAATGCTACATTGCATGCAAAAACATCATCGACGTCGATTTGATTGCGGTTCCATGTAATTCCAGACATGATATAATTTATTGAAATTTCTTCATTATCAGGTACCTGAATTTCTTCTTGTATCATGTCTAAAGTCTCTTCTGGAGATCCTTCGGAAATTGTTTCTTCAATTTGACCATCATCAATCAATGCTCCTTTTCTTTTCCGAGGATTCTTATCTTTGGAACCTATTGGTCTTCCACGTTTCTGACATAGTTTAGACTCATTAGCAAATTTATTTTGTCCTTCCGGGACATCTATTTTAAATGGAGCATTAACAGCTGGAATATGTGACTTGGTCACTCTTTTTGGGTCAGCAAACGAGTCTGGCAATTGATTCGCTAAAATTTGTAAATGAATTATCTTTTGAACTTCCAGTTCACATAGTTTAGTTTGAGGATCAAGATAGGATAATGATAATTCATTCCATTTAATTTCCTTTTCCAGCACTCTCTTTTCTCCCCCTAATGTTGGGAAAAGCGACTCACTAAAATGACAATCTGCAAAACGAGCAGTAAATAAATCCCCTGTTGTAGGCTCAAGATATTTAATTATTGACGGGGATTCAAACCCAACATAT